AAGGAAGGAAGGAAGGAAGGAAGGCAGGCAGGCAGGCAGGCAGGCAGGCAGGCAGGCAGGGGTGGCTGACAAGCTTTGGGGGTGCACGATGGCAAGAGTAGCTTTGGCAGATCCGAGGTGAATCTCAAAGCCACCTAAACAAACCCCTGTGATTCTCTCTATCTTAGGTAAAAATATCAGAGGGACCCAAAATACATTTATTCATCTGTTAAATTTGGGGTTGACTTGTAATGGGGAAGAGACACTTGTTAAATCTGAATATTGGTTCAACAGCAAATGCATTTTGCCCGTTGCACCCAAAGTCTGCCACCCTGAGATGCAGATGAATGGGAGGCAAGATGATGGTTCTCAATTCACTTGGGCTCAGGAGAATAAGCCCGAAAATCATAAAAGGGGTCTTTGATTGGTCGGGTTGTGGGCCTTATTATGGAATCGTTAGAATTGCCCCGTAGGAGTAAGAGAAGAGGCCAGCGGCCAAATGTTTGGCTTGCTAGCAGAAGGTCCCAGATTCACCCAAGGAAGGGATGGAAACTCACAGGCTGAGCCGCAGAGAGCCAGGGCAGAGGGCCAGCATGCTCCCCCTTTGGAAGAGGGCACCGGCCCAGGCAGAGGAATGGACGAGCAGGCTGAGTCCCTGGGCTCCCGGGGGCAGGTTCTGGGAAAACTGAGCGGGACGAGGGCCCTTGGGCTGGGAGCCCCTCTCTGGGGTATGTGGGTGAGGAGTTGGCAGCCTGCCACCCCAACCTCCCTCCATTGCAGGTTGTCATCTGACTGCCCCCTGCGGCCAAGAAGATGGAGCAGCCGAACAGTTGTGGACGCTGCGCGGCAGAAGAGCCTCCCGGGCTGCACGTGCGTTGGGCGCTGGGCCAGCTGGCGGACAGCCTGCTTTTCCTCCCCTCCTCTTGGAACACCGCCCGGGGCAGACTTTGCTGGGGGGGGCAGTGCCAGAGGACCCTCCTAGCCTGGCAAAGGCACTTTAAAAGTCTGGAGTCTGGAGGAGACGGTGGAAGGAGCTGCCGCAAGCCCAACCAGAGCCCCACTGCTTGCACTTTTCTTCTGCACGGCCCGGAGGCAGCTCTGCAACGTGCCAGCCAGGCTGGGTAGCCTTCCGAAGGACAAGGGAAAAACAGCTCTTATTTTTGCAGCCTGGGACCTAATGGGACTGCTGAGCCTCCGTCAAGTTGAGCGGGTGACTGTGTGGACTCGTCCGGGTCATTTTCTTGGCAACACTACGGAAATTGTTCCCCATTCCACATTTTTCCAGGATGTTTTGTTGACTTCCTAATCTAGCAACCTCCGCTAGGATTTCCTGGTGGTGTCCCATCCAGCCACTAACCAGTTCTGAACCTGTTTAGCGTCTGAAGCCAACCATGCTGAGGGTGCTGCTGATGGCTGTGTGTTTGTGTGTGTGCTTGTGTGCATCTGAAATATGTACCTTCATCCACTTGAAAGAAGAGGGGAGATACCTCTGTAATTTTTCAGATCGTATCTCGGGAGTTGGATTCTGCAGAAAGCAAGAATCTTCCCTCCGTCACAGAGACGCTGCATTTTCAGCATGCAAAACAGCAAAATGTGGACAGGTGAAACTCCCCTCTCGTTCTCCACTGCTTCCTGCAAACAGGGTTGCAAAGAGGGTGCTTGAGCACTGTTGAGTTGGACGCATCGCCTTCCTCTCTGCTTCACTGTTGTTTTCCACGTTGTATATTTTTTAATAGAAGCAGCTGAAAATGCAGGCGTGCTCAGATAGCCTGTTTACGTAATAATAATAATAATGCTCTGGGACATTAGAATTCAGACAAGCACCTGCCACACAACACCCCAGACTTCACCATTGTTGATAAGAAAGACAAAAAAGTCTGCGTAGCGGACATTGCAGTACCTGGAGACAGCAGAAGAGAAGAGAAAGAACTGGAGAAAATCACAAGATACGAAGACCTGCAAACAGAAGTAGAACGACTGTGGCAAAAGAAAGCAAAGATAGCCCCAATAGTTATAGGCGCCTTGGTTGCAAGCCCAAAACACCTGGAGCATCACTGGAAGACCATCGGCATTCATTGCAAAAGGCAACTTTACCTGGAACAGCTTCCATCCTGCGACGATGCCTTAAACGCCATCCAACAACATCTCCCTATCCCAGGTCCTTGGGAAGGACTCGATAGGTGGACAAAAATGCCAAATCTGGTTTAAACATCTGGCTGACTGTGCGATCAACCATAATAATATGTGCCCCTTCCTTCTTCACAGTACGAAATGTAGTTTTGCCAATCTGAGAAAGCTACATCTACTCATTTTTCTGAGTTTGGAAAGAGTATCGAAGCACAATCCCTTGGAGATTATCCAGTCCCACTCGGCAGCACGCCTGCCACCTTTACCAGCACTTGCTCAGGGGAATCTGCAGAGAACCGCTGCCCATTGCACAGCCCTGCCTCGGTGGAACTGGGGCGCGTTATTGCAGAAGTTCAACCCTTGCAAGCCACAGCCAGAAGAAAACTTGACTGCACCCAGTCCTTCTCACCTGTGTGTTGGATTCTTCCTTCTCCCCGTGAAAAACAAGCCAAGAACTTCCCACCTAAATCTCTAACTTGGCTTCCCTTTCGACTTCATGCAGCGTCTTGCTTCCCCCACGTCCCCAAACATCTGGACTTTGGAAAGCAGAGCCTTCAGAAAAACAGCAGGCTGTCAGCAGAAGGCAGGTGCCCTCCTGGACCAGTCCAAGAAACGATGAAATTAAAGATTCTGCCCCAGGAAAATTGTAATCGGGATCAGCTACAGAACTCAGTCCAATTTGTCTAAGTTCTCTGGAAGGGGTGTCCCCAAAAGTCTAGCAGGTGGTTGTGATTGTGCAATCCAAGCCATCTTGACTTTTTTTTGACAGCCCCCCCCCTCCCCACAGATTCCCCTGTTCTCAGCTTTTTGTTTTAATTACCAGAGACAGGAGAAGCCCAGAGTAAAGATTCTCACTGGCTGTGGAAGCCTGGTTGGGCTTCTGAAATGTTAGCAGACGATCTCAGCCCACCTGCCCTTTTAAGCCCACTTCTATAGAATCAGGGACAAAAACAGTGTTTTCCAACGTAGGCGGCTTCCAGGTGTGCAGAGTTCTCTCCCAGAATGCTCAGCAACAGCATGAGGATTCTGGGAGTTGAAGTCTCTGAAGAAATGATGGGTTCCAGAGCATCATCCCATCGCATTTTGTAATTTTATTGTACAGTTCATGGTTTACCTAGAACAGTGGTGCCTGCCCCTTTTGCCCTCCCCCTACAAAATCCTTGCACGAGCCCCCTCCCCAACTCTAAAGATTGCTTCCAAGGTGTAATTTTAATTTG